GGTCCAAACCTGGCCGGATTAGGGGAGGCTCGGTCCAAAACTAGCCGGATTAGGGGAGGCTCGGTCCAAACCTGGCCGGATTAGGGGAGGCTCGGTCCAAACCTGGCCGGATTAGGGGAGGCTCGGTCCAAACCTGGCCGGATTAGGAGAGGCTCGGTCCAAACCTGGCTGGATTAGGGGAGGCTCGGTCCAAACCTGGCCGGATTAGGGGAGGCTCGGTCCAAAACTGGCCGGATTAGGGGAGGCTCGGTCCAAACCTGGCCGGATTAGGGGAGGCTCGGTCCAAACCTGGCCGGATTAGGGGAGGCTCGGTCCAAACCTGGCCAGATTAGGGGAGGCTCGGTCCTAACCTGGCCGGATTAGGGGAGGCTCGGTCCAAACCTGGCCGGATTAGGGGAGGCTCGGTCCAAACCTGGCCAGATTAGGGGAGGCTCGGTCCAAACCTGGCCGGATTAGGGGAGGCTCGGTCCAAACCTGGCCGGATTAGGGGAGTTTTACTGTACCTGAAAGAAGCATATCCACTCATTGCCTTCCAGTGTGCTTGCTCCACTTAACGAAATTATTGTTTCTGAAGGAAGTGGCATAATGGCCTAAAATTGCATGCTGGAGTTTTGTACTTAGCTAAGTTGCACAACTGGACAGCGTCAAAAGGTTGCTTGACTCGTGAGGAGCGAACCAGTCGCCAGGTTTCAAAGGCCAGTTCGGTATGAAACGTTTCTATATCACAAATCCTTAATTACAACCAAGTGTACGAAATAGTGACAGCGACTTCGGCGATGATTTGTTCGGAAAGGGCTAGCTTCCCACGCTGGAGCTCGCGCTTTTCCGCTGGCTTGACTTAACACTTGACTGACTCACGACTGCCTACGACAAGTTCTTCGAACCTTAGACTTGCTTTCTTGCTGGTTTGCCGAGTGGAAGGGTCGATGGACTTCCCGTGTGCTCTGGATGGCAGTCGGGAGTCAGTCAAGTCAAATAGGCGGAAAAGCGCGAGCTCCAATGTGGAAATGTTGCAAAAGAAGGACCCACGAGCGGGATTTAACCCCCCACCACCCCTTTCTTTCCAGGACAGTGCCCTACTCGTTAGGCTTCCGGGGATCACACACGCACACCCGCGAGTCCTTCTTGCTACAATACAATGTCCTGTTTCCATGGATACCAGCAAGCCGGCGCAAATTACAACATGCTGCCCGTCCTTACCAGTGGATGTCCGTAGTAGCGGAGTTTCCTACCGTCCAGTACAAACCAGCGCTTCTTCCAGCCATGCGATGCCTGAAGATATATTATGCACACAGGGTAAAGAAAATTGGTTTTCACAAGAGAGGTTTTGCAGAGCGAACGTTCGCGCGAATTTTCGGTTGACATCACGAAAAGCGAAACTTCGTGCGAACGTTCGCAGTTTTGAACGCGAAAGTTGCAGGAAACGCGAAACAAACTTTCGCAGTAATTTTCGCTCTTTGTGGACCGCTGGTCAGCCTGGCCTGGTGCACGGTGATCTTCATGCAAGTATTAGTTGTGCTTTATATCTACTCTTCAAAGTCTCTTGGCTTGGTCCGCGAGTGCTAGCTTTCATACTTGTGGCAGCCCGTGTTGCTTCATCTCCAGAACCATCTCCGATCTCCTGCTTGCTCGTCTTCTCACTGCTCAGAGTCGGTTACATCAATGATGCCTTTTGAATCTCACGTGTTGATGCACAAGATTACGGCACAAGCCAACCCGACCCGTTTGTCTGTGGGTCTCCTGCCATGGACAACGTAGTCAAAGAGCTCTCGTCTCAGGCCGTGACTCAGGGTACCTGGTGCGCGTGCCGCCACTCGCAACAAATAAATAAACGGATGGAGACGACTTCTCAAAAACAAGCGAGTGCACACGAACATTTCTTGGAGCGAGATACATGCAAACTTTCGCAGTAACGCTCTTTGTGGACTGTTCCGGTGCACGGTGAGCCACCCTCAGTCCTCATGTTTGTGCTTGATCTCTACTCTTGGCTTGGTCCGCGGGTGCTAGCTAGGCTATACTTGTGGCAGCCCGTGTTGCTTCTTCTCCGGGACCATCTCCTGCCTGCTCGTCTTCTCACTGCTCAGAGTCGGTTACATCAACGATGCCTCTTTGAATTTCAGGTGTTGATGCGCCAGATTACGGCACAAGCCAACCCGTTTGTGACTGTGGGTCTCCGGCCATAGACAAGGTAGTCAAGGAGCTCTCGTCTCAGGCCGTAACTCTAGGTGCCACCACTCGCAACAACAAAAATAATCGGATGAAGACCACTCACTGTACTTCTCAAACAAGCGAGTGCACGCGAAAATGTCTTGGAGCGAAAAACATGCAAAACACAAATTTCGCGCGAACGTTCGCAATAGTTTTCGCAACCCGGAACGCGAAAATCATTGCGAACGTTCGCTCTGCAAAACCTCTCTACAAATTTTTGAAAATTCACTCAACTCCAATAAGATCTCTTTGCTGTGATTCACACTTATATTACACCGGATTTTCGGGCCTGGGCCATCATCAGGGTAATTTTACAGAAAAGAAACCATTATTGGAGTTGAGCAGTGAAGTTCCATAAAAATCTGATGTGTAAGTTGCTGCCACGATGATTGGAGTTTGCGGACAATAGGAATAGGTTTCACATGAGTAAGGACGCAGTAAGGCCACACCGGCTGTATCTTCCACTCTCTCAAGGGCTGACGGCATTTCCAATACTCTGACCACACAGAGCCAAAGCCACAACTGCGTACTTTGGACAGATTGGAGAAACCTATCCACCATGCGATCGTGGAAGATCTGAGCAACGGCCATTCTGTAGGAGCAGTTGCCATGAGTTTCTTCAAAGGCAATCCAAAGTCATTGGGCATAGACAAGCAATGTTAGATAGAGTCCTGGCACACTCCCGATGTTCAATGTTGAACTCCATCAATCGACTATGCTAAACTACTGGCATTCAACCCATTGCATTTTTGCACGCTTCAACATCCATACACGGACACACCGGCATGAAAGCCCAAACTTCACCACTCACATTGGGTCCAGTCTTCTGTAAGTATCCGGCTTTGCTGAAGTCCTTAGTCAGCTGTAAAGTGAACACAGCACAAATCACAAACAGATTTCATTATCAGTGCGAGCAAAAGGTTATAGCAACTTCGTCGATACTTGTAGAACTGTCCCGGAATAGAATTCAATCTCATTGAATTCACCTCTCCTAGTACCATGTTCTTTGAAAGGAATGAATCCACTTGAGATATCTCGTACAGATAAAAAATACGGCTGCACATTGATCAACAACGTCACACTGTCCTTACCAAGGCGTGTAGGCCGAACGGGACACAGGGGGGGGGGGGGCACATACAAACACACACCCACCCACACCCCACACCCCCCCCCCCCCCCCACCCCAAATTTCAACCTACATGTACGTGTAGGATCAGCATATAGATAATGACCATGAATGACATGCACCTGCCATCCTATACATATGCAGCCGTGCACCCCACTAAAAGGGGGCCCAGCTGGTTCCCTTTCAGGGGTAGCTACCCCTACCCCTGAAAGGGGACCAGCTACTCCTCTGCTTACCATATCACCGGCTGAGAGCTTGAGAAACTCCTGCCTGGCATGGCGGATTGCGACCAGCCACTCAATTATATCCTGCACTCAATCCAACGCACACATACGCACGTGCGCGCGCGCACGTGCACACAAACACACACACACACACACACACACACACATACACACACATACATACACACACACACACACACACACACACACACACACACACACACACATGCACACACACACGCACACACACATGCACACATTCGGATGCAGGCACGCACATTGGTACGCAAAGGGAGCATCCCCATGCTGTCAGCCAATGCATGAATGGACGAGCAGATCACTTGCATGAGACACTGTACATTCATGCCTTGAGCTGCATGGGCACATTACAGACTAGATGACACTACGCCATTGTGCTAAATACATGTTCGAAGCAATTTTTGATTTGAGTACAGAATGCCTCGAGGATTCATCATCGTCTGATATAGGGTCGGGCACAAAATGATTTCAGAATCCGGCATGTTCGACGAGGTCAAGCTGAATCGCACTCGTCATGACCTCAACCAGAATGCTCTCGTTTCACACGCTCGTGCAACCAGCTCCCTGGTTGGTCTGGTTTATATTGTTATTTCAGTCCGTTGCCTCAACAGTACAACGTGCAAACATCAAGAGCGTCGAACGAAACGAGCAGGCCCGTCGGAACCGGTCTGGTTGGTCAGGTTATCACCGGACCAACGTTGTGGCTAGCAACACATGTTTACTGGTGAGAAGGGCATATGTACCCGCCATATTATACACAAAGTATGAAAGAAAGACTTTGGTACGATCGGACCAATTGAAAACTGCTTCCGGCGGTCCTGACTTAGAGAAAGGTAAAGCAGAGCAGAAAGGGAAATGCAACTGGCCCTGACCCATCCACCGCAGTGTTCCCGCCCTGAGGACTTACCCTGCCTTTCTCGCTGTACACGAAGATGTTCCTGGTTCTGCCGGACGAGACGGGAGTGTCGGGCACGGCGATCTGCATGCTGTGCGGGTGGTTGGTGAACACGGAGGCCAGGCATGCGTTCATGTTGGCAATGGACAGCACACCCAGGGGTTGATCCTGCACAATGGGGTGACAGAGAACAGCAATAGATTAGAGCAACCAATCCCACGTACTCGACAACAGATTCTTCACACGCAGTTGATACGTTCGTTAGAATTTTTCCCAAATGACCACGTGATTCTCCATGGAGACTCATAAGTCAAGTTCGAAGTCAAGTTCTACCCGAGAGGGTTTCTCGTACAGTATGGTCCCTCCGTAAAGACGCCCAAGCTAGCTCTGCAGTGGTTGAGTCAAAGCAACCAAGCGGCTATCTGGCATGCACAGGATATCGTACATGCTGACGATATTGCACTGTACCAAAGTGGTTCCAACACGGCAACTATTTCACTGGGACTCTCGTCATCCGTCACTGCGCTGGCCGACTGGCTCGAAAACCGCGGCCTGATATTGAATGAACGCAAAAGTCAAGTTCTGTCCATCTGTGGGAGGGATGCGCAAACCAGTATCGCTGTAAATTGCCATCAGACCCGCTTACCTGCTTGTACTGCGGCCAAGTACTTGGGTTTAACCATCACCGAGCAACTGACCTGGGACCATCATATCCACGATGTTACAGCGAAGGCGAACAGGAAAGTCGGAGCATTGTGGCGAGCCCGGCGATCCCTTTCCCAGAAGGCCAGGGTCCAATACCTAAAATCCGTTGTGATGCCCGACCTATTATATGGAAGTGTGGCCTATAGCACGTCCCTCTCAGCTTTCGCTCTAGGGAAACTCCAACGTCTTCAGAACCGTGCCATCCGCGCTGTGTTCAGCCTACCACCCACATCTTCGGTAAGCCACCAAAGGGAGAGCATATCCCTCCGGAAAATCGAGGAGACACAACACCACCGACTCCTCGATCTCATCTGGCGCGGCCTGAACGGCCAATGTAGTACAGCGCTTTCAAAGCAGCTGAAGCCCGCAACCACGGCCCCAACTCGACATCAAGCCAACGCCAGGCTCATTCTCCCGCTGGCCAGGACGAATACAGGCACTCGCCGACCGTTCTTCCGTGGACCTGCGCTGTGGAACACTCTGCCAGCCAGTGTACGTTCCTGCAAAGCCGTGGCCGATTTCGCAGCAGCCGTGTACCCGTACACTCTCAGGCCATAAACGTTTTTAAAAGAACAGAAACAGTGACATGCCCCCCCCCCCCCCCCCCACACACACACACGGACAGTATGTATAGGCATATAACGAACGGTCTTTTCCTGTTAGCTCTGTTTGTCCAATACATGAGATAAAACGTCTTTTTTGTTGTTTTTCCTTCTCCATGTAGCTGCTTCCAGCATGGTAAACGACAGTACCATGGCCTTTTCAGATTTTCATTGTACCTATTTGTAGTACCTCCCGGGATCAGTATTTTCCACTTGAAATAACATCCACCCCAATGCCTCATTCTTAGCATTCTTTTATTCGCTTCCATGTAATTGGGCTTATTGCCCGTTTGGTATTGCGAATTCAAATAAAAAACAACAACAAAACAACAACAACATCCGTACAAGGGTCATGAATGAATAACAGTCAACATGATGTGCTGGTGATGACACATCCCCCCCCCCTCCCCCGGCTTCTATCAAGGCAGGCACGTAGCGAGCATGGGGCACGAGGGGGGGGGGACCCCAACCCCCAAATTTCAATTAGGTTCAGCATGCACATAATGACTATGAATGACATGCACCAGCCATCTTACACATATGCGGTCGTGCACCCCCTGAAAGGGGGACCAGCTACCCCCCCCCCCCCCCTGCAAGGAATCACTTGTTTAGTAAGATGTAAGGTGCCAGGGGGGGGGAGGGAGAGGTGTACTTACTGAGCTTCTGGACTTGTAGTATTTGATGTTTCCCGTGCCGACGTCCAGAACAAACCAGCGTGCTTTCCAGTCCTTGTTGCCTTTGCCCTTCTTGAAGAGGATGCCAGACTTCTTACCTACAAGGTGAATACACACAGTGGAATCAGGCACGGCGAAACCGGTACGGTTGGTCAGGCTATGGGCGGACCAACATGTTGGGCCCAAACGTGTGTTTAGTACTGTCTACTGCCGAGAAGGTCATGTGTACACCCTCCTCCATTTCACACACAAAGTGAGAACGGGTAGGTTGGGGGCAGACCAATCAAAAACTGCTTCCGCCGCTCCTAGGAATGCAAAGTGATTCACAGTAAAGAGACCGTTATTGGAGTTGGAGAAGTGAAGAGGTATGCATGATTGTGTAAGCGGCTGCGGTGGAATGTTTACACTTGACAATTAGAAAGGTTTACACACAGAATTCAAAGACAAAACAATAAGCGGGTGGTCAGATGCACTTCAGAATTCCCAAACTCCATTGCAGCGTATTTCTTGCACTTGAAAACACCGCCATTCCGGCAACAGGCTCTCAGCTGCACCAAATAAATAACTTTATTTGGTGCAGCTGAGAGCCTGTTGCCGGAATGGCGGTGTTTTCAAGTATCAGATACACTGGCGATTGATCATGAAGATGAACAAAGATAGGAACGAGTGTATGTTGGGTGGAGATCTAGATGGCGAGTATTCAATGTAAAGAAATGTGAGAGAGAGAGAGAGAGAGAGAGAGAGAGAGAGAGAGAGAGAGAGAGAGAGAGAGAGAGAGAGAGAGAGAGAGAGAGAGAGAGAGGGGGGGAGAGGGGGGGGAGAGAAAGAGAGAGAGAGAAATAAAGAAGATGTGAGAGAAGAGGTGTTGCCATGCACCAGCACAGCACTGGCTTAACGCTAGAGTATGCACGATAGGAGAAGTGTGTTTTCTCCCAACACCGGAGCTCACACTTTCCTCCGACTTGACTTGACACTTGAGTCAAGTCGGCAGAAAGCGCGAGCTCCGGTGTGGGGAGAAAACACTTAC